AGCGACGCTCAGAACAACGAGCGGAGCGCCGGGTGGCTAAAAGCACAGCAGGTTGGCACAGTAGGGGGCACAGGTGGTGCATCAGCCAGTCATCTCAGTCAGTCGACCCATGGCACCTGGGTCTGCCCCGTGACCTCCTGCCAGCGGGCGTTCGACACTTCACGTGGCCTCAGAGTGCACATAGCCTGGCACAAGCGTCGTGGTGACGTCACTGCCACTTAGTGGCGAATGGCGGTTGTTGTTGTTGTTGTGTGCCTGTGTGTGTCTGTGTCGGTTTCAGGAAAGGCGGTTCTGCACAGATGCCATATTTTCTGTCCGTCTGCTACAGCAGAGGTGTAGGGAATTCCAGCAAGACCTACATCTCTGCTTTATTGACCTGGTCAAGGTCTATGATACCATCAGTAGGCCTGGGGTCTGGGTTGTTTTTCGTACTTTTGGAGTCCCTGACCCTCTGCTCACGATCATTAAGGACCTTCATTATGGTGAGCGGGCCCGGGTAAAACTACGTGGCCGGGAGTCAGAGCCATTCCCTGTACACCTTGGGGTGCGACAGGGATGTCTTCTGGCTCCCACATTATTTAACATCTATTTTTACCACGTAGTTCGTGAAGCCTTCAATAGCTGTACCGGGGGAATCTCAATATGGTACAGATATAATGGGAGGCTGATCGATGCCCGGGTGCGGACAAGGGATGGCTCCCTATTGCTCAACCACGTTATGTATGCCGATGATTTGGTAATAGCTGCTCATTCAGAGGAGGAGTTAGAGACGCTGCTGCTGAGACGGGAGCGTGCCACTAAGAGATGGGGCCTTACCATCAGCCCCACCAAAACTAAGCACCTGCCTGGGTATTTTGTACCATCAGACACTCCACCCCCACAACTCCCAATCGGTGATGGGGCAGTTGTGGAGAGAGTGGAGAGTTTCCCATACTTGGGCAGTGTGCTTATGACTGGCTCCAGTTTAACAGCAGAGGTCTCACACCGAATCAGTCGAGCGGCAATATCTTTTAATCGGTTGCGTAACGCTGTGTGGAAGCTACCTGGTCTGTCGCTCCGCACTAAGCTTCAGGTCTTCTCGGCCACGGTCATTCCCTCCCTTCTCTACGCTTGCGAAACGTGGACCCCCCGAATGGAACATCTTCGCCGGTTAGAAAATTTTAGGCTGGCCTGCCTACGATCCATCCTGGGTTTAACCAGACTGGATTGTGTGAGGAGCTCACAAATCCTTGAAAGATCTGGGCAAGGTCCCATCAATGAGCTCCTCTGGCGGGCAAGGCTGCGATGGCTGGGTCATGTAGCCCCTATGTCCAGCCACCGCATGCCGAAACAGCTTTTGTTCGGCCGGATTGAGGGGGCTAAGCGGGCGCGGCAAGGGCTAGAGAAGAGATGGAGTGATTTGGTACAGGAGGACGTGGAGCTGAGTGGACTTGCCGATGACTGGTACCAGCAGTGTCAAGATCGGCCTCTGTGGAGGAGGCTCGTGAAGGATGCTACTGGGCAGTTGGAGGTAGTCGCCCTCCAACAACAACGGAGGGCGGAGGAGCGACGCTCAGAACAACGAGCGGAGCGCCGGGTGGCTAAAAGCACAGCAGGTTGGCACAGTAGGGGGCACAGGTGGTGCATCAGCCAGTCATCTCAGTCAGTCGACCCGTGGCACCTGGGTCTGCCCCGTGACCTCCTGCCAGCGGGCGTTCGACACTTCACGTGGCCTCAGAGTGCACATAGCCTGGCACAAGCGTCGTGGTGACGTCACTGCCACTTAGTGGCGAATGGCGGTTGTTGTTGTTGTTGTGTGTCTGTGTGTGTCTGTGTCGGTTTCAGGAAAGGCGGTTCTGCACAGATGCCATATTTTCTGTCCGTCTGCTACAGCAGAGGTGTAGGGAATTCCAGCAAGACCTACATCTCTGCTTTATTGACCTGGTCAAGGTCTATGATACCATCAGTAGGCCTGGGGTCTGGGTTGTTTTTCGTACTTTTGGAGTCCCTGACCCTCTGCTCACGATCATTAAGGACCTTCATTATGGTGAGCGGGCCCGGGTAAAACTACGTGGCCGGGAGTCAGAGCCATTCCCTGTACACCTTGGGGTGCGACAGGGATGTCTTCTGGCTCCCACATTATTTAACATCTATTTTTACCACGTAGTTCGTGAAGCCTTCAATAGCTGTACCGGGGGAATCTCAATATGGTACAGATATAATGGGAGGCTGATCGATGCCCGGGTGCGGACAAGGGATGGCTCCCTATTGCTCAACCACGTTATGTATGCCGATGATTTGGTAATAGCTGCTCATTCAGAGGAGGAGTTAGAGACGCTGCTGCTGAGACGGGAGCGTGCCACTAAGAGATGGGGCCTTACCATCAGCCCCACCAAAACTAAGCACCTGCCTGGGTATTTTGTACCATCAGACACTCCACCCCCACAACTCCCAATCGGTGATGGGGCAGTTGTGGAGAGAGTGGAGAGTTTCCCATACCTGGGCAGTGTGCTCATGACCGGTTACAGTTTAACAGCAGAGGTCTCACTCCCAATCAGTCGAGTGGCAATATCTTTTCATCGGTTGCGTATCGCTGTGTGGAAGCTACCTGGTCTGTCACTCCGCACTAAGCTTCAGGTCTTCTCGGCCATGGTCAGTCCCTCCCTTCTCTACGCTTGCGAAACGTGGACCCCCCGAATGGAACATCTTCGCCAGTTAGAAACATGTAGGCTAGCCTGCCTACGATCCATCCTGGGTTTAACCAGGCTGGATTGTGTGAGGAGCTCACAAATCCTTGTGAACTACTCCGGCAGGCAAGGCTGCGATGGCTGGGTCATGTAGCCCGCATGCCCAGCCACCGCATGCTGAAACAGCTTTTGTTCGGCCGGATTGAGGGGGCTAAACGGGCGCGGCACGGGCTAGAGAAGAGATGGAGTGATGTGGTACAGGAGGACGTGGAGCTGAGTGGACTTGCTGATGACTGGTACCAGCGGCGTCAAGATCGGCCTCTGTGGAGGAGGCTCGTGAAGGACGCTACTGGGCAGTTGGAGGCAGTCGCCCTCCAACAACAACGGAGGGCGGAGGAGCGACGCTCACAACAACGAGCGGAGCGCCGGGTGGATAAAGCACAGCAGGTTGGCACAGTAGGGGGCACAGGTGGTGCATCAGCCAGTCATCTCGGTCAGTCGACCAGTGGCACCTGGGTCTGCCCCGTGACCTCCTGCCAGCGGGCGTTCGACACTTCACGTGGCCTCAAGGTGCACATGGCCTGGCACAAGCGTCGTGGTGACGTCACCGCCACTTCGTGGCGAATGGCGGTTGTTGTTGTTGTGTCTGTGTGTGTCTATTTGTTTGTTTGTCCTTGGGAAGGGGGGGGTAGGAGGGGGAATTCGTCTCGACCGTGGAAGTGGCGGCAATTCCCATTTGGCGATGGATGGGATGCGAGGTGATTCGCCTTCCTCGCGCGTCAGACACCTTCAGTCAGCCGCTCTTCGTGCACCGACAACGATCGTACTGATGGCTTTCATCGCCACCATCACCACTATCATCACCATCATCACCACCATCGTCATCACCATCATCACCACCACCATCATCATCACCATCATCATCACCACCATCATCACCACCATCATCATCACCACCATCATCACCACCATCAGCATCACCATCATCACCATCATCACCATCATCACCATCATCTCCATCATCACCACCATCACCATCATCATCACCACCATCACCACCATCATCACCACCATCAGCATCGCCATCATCACCATCATCATCTCCATCATCACCACCATCATCATCACCATTATTACCATCATCACCATCACCACCACCGTTATTATTTCTTTATATCTTATGTACACGTCTTCACAGAGTCTCAAGACGCTGGTTGGTTTTCAAGAGGTTCCTGGCCAAGCGTTGAGCAGTTGGGGCAGGGGTTGGGGTGGAGTGGTCGCAGGGGGAGTTGAGGATGAAAATGTTGACTGAAACCTTTCGTGACTGCAGGAATCCACATTCCTTGGGTATTTCGGTAAAGTCACGTAAATAGGTTCAACGAAAATAACAAAAATATAAAAAAAATTGTTATTAACGTTAAAAAAGTATTGTTTTTGTTATTTTCTATGAATAAATCTACGTGACTTTACCGAAAGACCCAATTAATGAAATTTGACTTCAAACTTTCGTGACTGCAGGAATTAACATTCTTGGTTCTTTCGGTAAAGTCACGTAGATAGAAAATAAAAATAAATTAAAAATAAATGTAAATAAAAAATAAAAGCAAAAAAAAACCCCACCACGTTTCGATAAATTAAAAAATAAATTGTAAAAAATAAAAGCAAAAAACCCACCACGTTTCGATAAATAAAAAAATAAATTGTAAAAAATTGAAGCAAAAAACCCACCACGTTTCGATTGCAACAGAAGCGGTTTTCATCTCTACCGCCTGATGGAGACCGCTTGCATTGCGATCGAAACGTCGTGGTTTTTTTGCTTTTAATTGAAAAAAAATATATCTATCTACGTGACTTCACCGAAAGAACCAAGAATCCACGGACGATAGTTGAGGTTTATTTTGTTTTAGTATTTTTGTTAAATTCCAGTCGTGGGTAATCAAATTCGCTGACGTGAAAGATCCCGCCGCCGCTGCTGCACGAGGGAGTTCCCCCGGAGCCCACCCGGGCCTGCGCGCCAGCCTCGCCGTCCGCAGTGGGCCAGTCCCCGACAAATCGCGCCGCGAATTCCCCGCGACGAGACGGGGTGGGGTGGCTCGGATCACCGCGGGACAACGTCGCCCCCTCGCAGCAGAAACGTGAACAGCGGCAGCCTCTTTGCTGCTGCTGCCGCTGCTGCTGCCGGCTCGGACGACGGCGCTGGGGCGCTGCCCGCCTGCCACCAACCCCTCCTGGTACCCGTCCAGATGGGGGCGCTGCCCGCCAGCCCTCCCTGCCCCTCTGCCCTCCCCGGTACCTGTCCAGATGGCGGCGCTGCCCGCCTGCCCCCCGTGTTACCCGTCCAGATGGCGGCGCTGACGGTGAGTGCGAGGCGCGTGGTGCGGCGGTAGAGCGACTTGAGTGGCCGCAGCGCGAGGTAGCAGCGGTCGATGCTCATGGCCGTGAGTGTCGCGCACGTGGCCTGCACCGTCACCTGGTCTCGCGCCAAGACACAACAGACAAAGGTCCCCCGGGTAGCCTGCGACGGGCTGGTGGGGCAAGTGCTTGGTAGCGAGCCACGACACTTAACACACGCGGAGTGTCCAAGTCTGCTGGCCACTACGAGGTGGCTACACACTCACACTCACTCACACTCATTCACACTCTCACTCATTCACACTCATCCACACTCTCACTCATTCACACTCACACTCATTCACACTCTCACTCATTCACACGCATTCACACTCTCACTCACACTCACTCACACTCATTCACACTCTCACTCATTCACACTCACTCACACTCATTCACACACACTCACACTCATTCACACTCACTCACACTCATTCACACTCATTCACACTCATTCACACTCTCACTCTTTCTCATTCACACTCATTCACACTCATTCACACTCACACTCACTCATTCACACTCACTCACACTCATTCACACACACTCACACTCATTCACACACACTCACACTCATTCACACTCACTCACACTCACTCACACTCATTCACACTCATTCACACTCTCACTCTTTCTCATTCACACTCATTCACACTCATTCACACTCTCACTCTTTCTCATTCACACTCTCACTCATTCACACTCATTCACACTCTCACTCTTTCACATTCACACCCATTCTCACTCTCACTCACCCGCACTCACATCCACACTCATTCACACTCTCACTCACCCACACTCACATCCACACTCATTCACACTCTCAGCCACACTCACCCACACTCTCACTCACACTCACCCACACTCTCACTCACACTCATTCACACTCACTCACACTCATTCACACTCATTCACACTCACCCACACTCTCACTCACACTCACCCACACTCGCACTCACACTTACTCACACTCACACTCATTCAGACTCACTCACACTCACTCACACTCATTCTCACTCATTCACACTCATTCTCACCCACACTCACATCCACACTCATTCACACTCTCAGCCACACTCACCCACACTCTCACTCACACTCACCCACACTCTCACTCACACTCATTCACACTCACTCACACTCATTCACACTCATTCACACTCACCCATACTCTCACTCACACTCACCCACACTCGCACTCACACTCACTCACACTCATTCACACTCATTCACACTCACCCACACTCTCACTCACACTCACCCACACTCGCACTCACACTCATTCACACTCACACTCATTCAGACTCACTCACACTCACTCACACTCATTCTCACTCATTCACACTCATTCTCACTCACACTCACATCCACACTCATTCACACTCTCAGCCACACTCACCCACACTCACACTCACCCACACTCGCACTCACACTCATTCACACTGACACTCATTCAGACTCACTCACACTCCCTCACACTCATTCTCACTCATTCTCACTCACACTCACATCCACACTCATTCACACTCTCAGCCACACTCACCCACACTCTCACCCACACTCAGCCACACTCACGCGCTCCATGACGAAGGGGTGGCGCGTGGGTGCTGAACACACACGACGTCACCACTGGCAAGCCGACGGTCACCTGCTGCAGGAAGTTGACGAACTTGCACATGAAATCCCCGAACACCCAGCTGGGCAGCGAGTAGAGCGTGGCCGTGAAGGGGACGCAGCTCACCAGGAAGATGACGTCCGTGCATGCCAGGTTCGCTGTGGCCACAGCAGCAGCGGCAGCGGGGATAGCAGCGGCAGTAGCGGTGGTGACCGCCTCCACGACTGCTTTGTCTACATCTGAGCGAGCAGTTGCTCGGTCAAGCACGGCTCTGGAAACCCAGAGACGTAAATCATGGCCCCCCACGACTAGTTTGACTACATCTGAGCGAGCAGTTGCTCGGTCAACCACGGCTCTGGAAACCCAGAGACGTAAATCATGGCCCCCCACGACTAGTTTGACTACATCTGAGCGAGCAGTTGCTCGGTCAACCACGGCTCTCGAGAAACCGCGCAACGTAAACCATCGCCAGCGACTGCTTTAGCTAAAGCAATATACAGTCCAAAATGTATACTGTACATGATGACCCAGATGTCCCGTGACCCCCCCCCCCCATGTGTTTTTTATTGGCCTCTAACATTTTTTTTAATTCTTGGGTCTTTCGGTAAAGTCACGTTGATTGGTTCAAAGGAAATAACAAAAATAACAAAAAAACACACGACCGCTTGTGTTGCGATCGAAACTTCGTCGTTTTTTTGTTATTTGAACCAATCTACGTGAAGGGAAACAATAAAATAATAAAATATATATAAAACAATAAAAAAATTCTCACGGACGTTTCGACCATAACGCAAACGGTCATCATCAATCAGTCACGAAAGCTTTAAATCAAAATTCATCATGATGACCGTTTGCGTTATGGTCGAAACGTCGTGAGAATTTTTATTGTTTTATGTTTTTTATTATTTTATTGTTTCCCTTCAACGTGACTTTACCGAAAGAGCTAAGAATATGAATCCCTGCAGTCACGAAAGCTTTAAATCAAAATTTAATCTACGTGGTGACTTTACCGAAAGAACCATGAATATGAATCCCTGCAGTCACGAAAGCTTCAAATCAAAATTTAAGTCAAATGTTTTTTTCCTTTGCATATTTATTTCTGTTTTAAATAGACCTTACTTTTAAAAAAATATATACATAAGCGGAACGATGATGATGATGTTGATGATGTCTGTCTGTATCTCTGTATTGTATCGCGGTTCTGCCTATCGGATCAGCACGGTTGGCTACGCACGGTAAAGTCACGTAGGTATAAAATAATAACACCTACGTGGCTTTACCGAAGTATGGATTCCTGCAGTCACGAAAGCTTCAAATCAAAATACAAAAGTTGCCGGGGGTGGTCACGAACAAACCGCACTTGCCCCGATAGTCCTTCGAAGGCTACAACACTGTGGATATTTGTCCCTGCGTGTGCGCCTCTGTGTCTGTGCATCCGCGCGTCTCCATCTCTCTCCAAGGCCGGCCCCCTCCCCTCCCTTACCGATGTAGAAGTTGGTGACCGTGCGCATCCGTCTGTTCCTGCCGACGACGATCACCACCAGCAAGTTCCCCGTGAGCCCCAGGGCCATGATGAGGGCGAATACGAGCGGCACCAGCCACGCGTCCGTCAGGGGAGGCGGCGTGGCCCCTGCCGCCCATGCCATCGTCTCGACCGCCGCCGTCCCCTGAGGCCCCGCGATGACCTCTTCTGACCCCCGGGTCGCGGTCTCCCCGCGGCACCGCGCAGGCGAAACCTCCGGCTCAGTGCCGATCGCCAGGAGCGCCGACAGGAGGCAAGTCCAGCCGTCCTGCTGGCCCGTCACGTTGAGCGGAGCGTGCTGTGACATTCCCGTCTGTGTGAGCGTGAGAGTGTGTGCTGAGTGTGTGTGTGGGGAGCGGTGGTGCAGCGGTTAGGTGCCACGCTGCGCTACGAATCCGAGTTCGATTTACGCTCACGGACAAAAAGCAGTGACGATTTTCTGAACCGGTCCTGGGTCTCCCCTAGGTCGACTCAGACCTCAGATGAGTACTCGGTGCGGTGTGTGAACATCGGAGACAAAGGCGGCCGGGCGTGGTGGTGCTGGTCACCCAACCCCCTCGTGTTCCGTTCTGGCCTTCACAGGTGCTGCTCGCTAACGGCACTTGCCCCAACAGTCTGTTAAGGCTATACGGGTGATCTTTGTCTTTGTGTGAGGTTGCTCGCTAGCTAACAGCACTTGCCCCAACAGTCTGTTGAAGGCTATACGGGTGATCTTTGTCTTTGTGTGAGGTTGCTCGCTAGATAACAGCACTTGCCCCAACAGTCTGTTAAGGCTATACGGGTGATCTTTGTCTTTGTGTGAGGTTGCTCGCTAGATAACAGCACTTACCCCAACAGTCTGTTAAGGCTATACGGGTGATCTTTGTCTTTGTGTGAGGTTGCTCGCTAGCTAACAGCACTTGCCCCAACAGTCTGTTAAGGCTATACGAGTGATCTTTGTCTTTGTGTAAGGTTGCTCGCTAGCTAACAGCACTTGGCCCAACAGTCTGTTGAAGGCAATACGGGTGATCTTTGTCTTTGTGTAAGGTTGCTCTCTAGCTAACAGCACTTGGCCCAACAGTCTGTTGAAGGCTATACGGGTGATCTTTGTCTTTGTGTGAGGTTGCTCGCTAGCTAACAGCACTTGCTCCCTTACAGTCTGTTGAAGGCTATACGGGTGATCTTTGTCTTTGTGTGAGGTTGCTCGCTAGCTAACAGCACTTGCCCCAACAGTCTGTTAAGGCTATACGAGTGATATTTGTCTTTGTGTGAGGTTGCTCGCTAGCTAACAGCACTTGCCCCAACAGTCTGTTATGGCTATACGGGTGATCTTTGTCTTTCTGTGAGGTTGCTCGCTAGCTAACAGCACTTGCTCCCTTACAGTCTGTTAAGGCTATACGGGTGATCTTTGTCTTTGTGTGAGGTTGCTCGCTAGCTAACAGCACTTGCCCCAACAGTCTGTTAAGGCTATACGGGTGATCTTTGTCTTTGTGTGAGGCTGCTCGCTAGCTAACAGCACTTGCCCCCTTACCGTCTGTTAAGGCTATACGGGTGATCTTTGTGTGAGGTTGCTCGCTAGCTAGCAGCACTTACTCCCTTACAGTCTGTTGAAGGCTATACGGGTGATCTTTGTCTTTGTATTGCGTTTGCGAGCGGTGGCGCAGCGGTTTGCGCACGGCCGCGCTACGAACCCCAACGGCACCCCGAGTTCGATTCCCGCTCCAATATCCAAACCTACCCTGAGTGCCTCTCCCTCCCTTCCTCCCCCTAGGTCGACTCAGACTTAAATGAGTGCCTGGTGCGGTGTGCCGTGCCGGCCTTCACAGATGCTGCCCGCTAGCAGCACTTGCCCTCGAATCGTCCGCGCGGGCTGCACGTGCCATCTCTTGCGCGTGTGCGAGCGCGCAGCGCGCGTACTCACGCGTGCGTTGCAGCGAAGCGAACGGTCGCACGCAACCTGGTTGCATGCAACCCGCCGGGAGTTGGACTGACCGCCCGGACCTGAGCGCGACTGATCGCCCGGACGATGCACCACGGACTCACGCGCGGTTATATTTGTCCGAAGGAGGTGGCGGTCTTCGTGGTGCGTCGTTTGTCCAATTCGGCTCGCCTGCCGAGAGATTGTCGATCGCCTTGGCGCACCGCTGGCGAGGACTGTGTGTTGACCAGCATATCGCCTGACCCGATGTGCGTGTGCGTGTGTGTTAGCCTGTTGGCTTGTGCGTGATACCACCAAATTGTCGCTGTGTCCGACCGACACTCTGGTGGTGCGTCTGCGCGACTTATCAGACGATGTGTCCGCCTGTCAGCTTATAGCACCTTGAGCACGACTGTCGTTGTGTCCGCCTGTTTGTGAACTCCTCAGTGTCCGCTCGCCTCGTGACGTTTCTGCCTGCCTAGCGAGACGGTAACCTCTATGAAGGTGGGAAATCACCAAAGCCTGGGCCACCTCTCCCCCCCCCGCCCCCCCCAGTATCGACGTTTCGCACAGCCGACCAGGAAAGTGATTTCAGGCTGAGCAGATTTTCGGTGATGCGCAGGACCGGCTCAGATATTCGCCACTGAGCGGGAATCAAACTCGGGTCGCCGGATTGGTAGCGCAGTTGCGCTAACCACTGCGCCACCGCTCCCCACAAGCGAGGATCCAACAAAGACAAAGATCCCCCGTGTAGCCTTTTAAAAGAGTGTTGGGGCAAGTGCTGTTAGCGAGTCAGCACGCTCATACGGGCAGGTGCATTTTTTTTTATTCCACGATGGATCGGGCGTGATATCGAATAGCGGTTGTCCCCTATTTAGACTCGCCATAGGAACGTGGAATTTCCACCAATAGTTCGGGGCTGTGAGCGGGAGATGAGTGCCTCAATGATCACTTGAGTGGGGAATCGCCGATTATCTGTAGTTTATGTTCAGGAGCGATGCACGCTTGGATTGATTACATCGATTTGTGGATTCGTGGACACACACCCAGGTTAGAGGCATCACGTTGATCTTCATCCAGCAGTAGACAGACCATGTTACTGATAGCACAATTGTCAGGCCGTGGTCAATCCACTGCTGGACGAAGGCCTTCCTCCGCAAGCCACCGCCGACCACCTCTCACGATGATCCTGCGATGTAGCAATGACACTCGCCATCTGCTCGTCAACTGATGACATCGCTCCATCTCCTGCGGCCCACCCTTTGTCCGCCACGCCGTTATCATTCTTTGCCAAATCATCCGGCGATGACGCAGCTGCTGCGTAGGTAGAGGCGCACAATCATAACCAACAACAACAACAACAAACTCAACACGCTCCGTGTCAATAACAACAACACCGCGCGCGCGTGTGTGGCCTTAAAAGGGATAACATAACAGGAGACGTTTCGGGCAATGGCCCTTCTTCAAAGCAGATTTCTTTTTTAATTTTGATTTAAAGCTTTCGTGACTGCAGAGATTAATATTCTTGGTTCTTTCGGTAAAGTCACGTAGAAGGGAAACAATAAAATAATAAAAATAAAATATATAAAACAATAAAATTCTCATAATCTGATGACTGTTGCAATCGAAACGTCGTGAGAATTTTATTGTTTTATATATATTTTATTGTTATTTTATTGTTTTCTTTCTACGTGACTTTACCGAAAGAACCAAGAATATAGCAGATATATTATTACTCGCATTTTTCCCGTCCAAGGACGAATATGCATTGCAGTAAATGTGAAACTTGCAAGCGACAAGCAGCCGGCGACGTGATACATTCATTGCATCCGTTCGTGTGCAATGTGTAAGGCCGCGGTGACCCAGACTGGTTTCATGTCAAGGTTATAATCCCTTGTTCATCACGACGTCCTTTTTACTCCCATGTCTCAACAACAGCGCTACGGAGATCACGTGATGACGTGACGGTTGTCAGTTGACGCCGGGGAGGGGGGAGGAGGCGCCTCGCCCCCCCATGTGGAGTGACGTCAGCCGCTCATGATTATTAATGAGGGGGGTTCTCAATGCGGAGTGACGTCAGGCGCTCATGATTATTCATGAGGGGGGTTCTCAATGCGGAGTGACGTCAGCCGCTCATGATTATTAATCAGGGGGTTCTCAATGCGGAGTGACGTCAGCCGCTCATGATTATTAATGAGGGGGGGTTCTCAATGCGGAGTGACGTCACCCGCTCATGATTATTAATGAGGGGGTTCTCAATGCGGAGTGACGTCACCCGCTCATGATTATTAATGAGGGTCGGGTCCATGTGGAGGACGTCACCCGCTCATGATTATTAATGAGATATATTATTACTGGTGGAGTGACGTGACGCGCGTTACACACTGACATCCTTGGGTAATACTGGTAGCAACATCATTTTCACCATCGGCCATCGTGGTTACACCCAAGCTCCACCCCCACCCAGTTGATTATCGCGACACAGCGCAAGAGAAGCACAGTTAATGATTGGCACGTCGCGTGTAGTGGGATGGGTGTGTGAAGTGTGGGTACTCCGGATTATTCCGAGATGTACCGCCCCCCCCCCACCATAGCAGAGGGGCTGTCTCGAGTGGAGGTCTCCACCACAGGCAATGGCACTTGCAGGGCTGCGCCTTGACATTGTTTTTTTTTTCTCAAGGGGAACTGGAGCCGTCCCGTGGCCCGGTGTGAGCGAGACCACAATGCTGCCCAGCGCGTGGCTCGACGTTCTGTTGAAGGCTGTGTGGGAGGCCTTTGTCCTTTGACCACACGGTGCACCTAGCCTGGCACGAGCGGGTCTCGTGAGCGGCGAGGCTCGCTCACACACCGCTTGTAAAATGTGACTGTCACTGCCATCGTGAGGGTGACGGGGAGGGGAGGGAGAGATGAGGGTGGAGAGAGAGAGGCGAGGGACAGGAAGAGAGAGAGTGGCTGACAGGAAGAATACATCAGAGAGGGGGGTAGAGAGGGGGGTAGAGAGAGAGGGAACGGGTAAGGAGAGCAGAGCGAGACATCTATTGTTAAATCTTTCATTTAAAAGGGGGGGGGGAGAGATTAAAAAACAAAACGAAATGGAACGAAGCAAAGTGCCGACTACACCGAGCATATTCTTGTTTCCTCTGACGGTAAACAAAGAGAGAGAGGCGAGAGGGAGCGGGAGAGATGGCACAAGAGAGGCGAGTGGAAGGACAAGAGAGTTGCCGAGAGGAAGACAGGCGGGAGGGGTGGAGGAGGAAGCAGCGAGACGAGACAGAGAGGCTGGGAGCTGGGGAGGAGAGTTTAGAGGCAGAGTCGAGGGCAGTGACGTGCGGTGAGGTCAATGGCTGGGGAGGCACTGGCTAGTCACTCAGAGCCAGGTTCACGCACTAAGGGGGGCGTGTCCTCACTGGGGGCGTGTCCTAACTGGGGGCGTGGCCTCACTGAGGTGGGCGTGTCGAACACGCCCCCCTCAGTGAGGCAGATGTGATAGCTGCCTCCCCTGGCGCCTTTTCTTTGCAGTTTCATGACGAGACCAGCGAGCCTAAATATCTTTATACACATACGGGACACATCCCCCCACAATATTCAAATATTCTCAAAATGCCCTCCCCCCCCCCCCAATATATTGCTATAAAATAGATTTCTGTTGATATGATTGTGGTTATGGTTGTACTTTATTAATCCCTAATCTCTGCCATTACATACAATGAAACAGAAAAGGTAAAAAAAAAACAAAGAAAAAACAGAGCAATGTAAATACAATAACACTATTAGACATTATTGTAAAAAAAAAATCATTTAAAAAATGTCCACCTCACGTGTTGGTGAATTTTTGTAATATTTTATGCAGGAAATGGCAAGAAGATTTGGTCCCTCGCAATGTTGACTCCATTCGCTACGACCTTTGGGTGACACACGGAGAGATCTGGTAACGCGCTCATTGCTCGCGCTCCATGCAGTTGCTGAGCGCGGTTGCGCAATCACAGGGGAGGCTGAGCTCGTCGCTGCCTCACCTCCCGTCTCTCCCTGCAAGTATTTCCAGCGGACACACCGCAAATTTGGCGACGTTGACTATGAAAAGGATTGGAACCGTATAGAAATGACATCAATAACACAGATCGGTGGTGGTGGGGGGGTAGGAAAAAAAAACTTAAAATTTTTTATTTGATTATTTTTGTTACTTTTTTCGAAACAGCTAATTTCCCCCCCGCACGTCCCTGATAGAGGAGAGAGACACACACACGCACACACACCGAGAGAGCGAGGGACACGATCTTCGCCTCACGATGTCCTCCTCGCTTGCCGCTTCCCAATGGCCGCCACGTCGAGGCGGCGGCGGGGGGAGGAGGGAGCGGAGATTTTCTGGTTCCGGTCGCTCGCTCCACCTCATCCGTCTCCTCGCTCCACCTCATCCGTCTCCTCGCTCCACCTCATCCGTCTCCCCGCTCCACCTCATCCGTCTCCCCGCTCCACCTCATCCGTCTCCCCGCTCCACCTCATCCGTCTCCTCGCTCCACCTCATCCGTCTCCCCGCTCCACCTCATCCGTCTCCTCGCTCCACCTCATCCGTCTCCTCGCTCCACCTCATCCGTCTCCTCGCCCCACCTCATCCGTCTCCTCGCTCCACCTCATCCGTCTCCTCGCCCCACCTCATCCGTCTCCTCGCTCCACCTCATCCGTCTCCCCGCTCCACCTCATCCGTCTCCTCGCTCCACCTCATCCGTCTCCTCGCCCCACCTCATCCGTCTCCTCGCTCCACCTCATCCGTCTCCCCGCCCCACCTCATCCGTCTCCTCGCTCCACCTCATCCGTCTCCCCGCTCCACCTCATCCGTCTCCTCGCTCCACCTCATCCGTCTCCCCGCTCCACCTCATCCGTCTCCCCGCTCCACCTCATCCGTCTCCCCGCTCCACCTCATCCGTCTCCCCGCTCCACCTCATCCGTCTCCTCGCTCCACCTCATCCGTCTCCACGCCCCACCTCATCCGTCTCCTCGCTCCACCTCATCCGTCTCCCCGCTCCACCTCATCCGTCTCCTCGCTCCACCTCATCCGTCTCCTCGCTCCTGCCTCATCCGTCTCCTCGCTCCACCTCATCCGTCTCCTCCTCCTCCTGCCTCCCTCCTCCTTCCTCCTCCTCGTCCTTCGTCGTCCCCGGCGCGGACAGCCGGCCCGTGCAGTCGACCTTGCAGTAGTACTAGTTGTTGTTGTGTTTGTTGTTGTGGTGGTGGTGGTGAAGACGTCGGCACCGTCATGGTGGTCGCCGGTAGCGGCGACAGCAGCAGCGGCGGCAGCGGCATGAAGTGAGTCCAGCCGGGAGAGAGTGGAGTGGTGTGTGTGGTGTATGTGTGTGGGGAGAGAGTGGTGTGTGTGTGTGGTGTGTGTGTGTGGTGTGTGTGTGTGTGGGGAGAGAGTGGTGTGTGTGTGTGGTGTATGTGTGTGTGGGGAGAGAGTGTGTGGTGTATGTGTGTGGGGAGAGAGTGGAGTGGTGTGTGTGGTGTGTGTGTGGGGAGAGAGTGGTGTGTGTGTGTGTGGTGTGTGTGTGTGTGGTGTGTGTGTGGGGAGAGAGTGGTGTGTGTGGTGTGTGTGTGGGGAGAGAGTGGTGTGTGTGTGTGGTGTGTGTGTGTGTGGTGTGTGTGTGTGTGGTGTGTGTGTGGGGAGAGAGTGGTGTGTGTGGTGTGTGTGTGGGGAGAGAGTGGTGTGTGTGTGTGTGGTGTGTGTGTGGGGAGAGAGTGGTGTGTGTGTGGGGAGAGAGTGGTGTGTGTGTGGTGTGTGTGTGCGGAGAGAGTGGTGTGTGTGTGTGGAGAGAGAGTGGTGTGTGTGTGGTGTGTGTGTGTGTGGGGAGAGTGTGGTGTGTGTGTGTGGTGTGTGTGGGGAGAGAGTGGTGTGTGGTGTGTGTGGGGAGAGAGTGGTGTGTGTGGTGTATGTGTGGGAGAGAGTGGTGTGTGTGTGTGGTGTGTGTGTGTGAGGAGAGAGTGGTGTGTGTGGGGAGAGAGTGGTGTGTGTGGGAGAGAGTGGTGTGTGTGGGGAGATAGTGGTGTGTGTGGTGTATGTGTGTGTGTGGGGAGAGAGTGGTGTGTGTGTGGGGAGAGAGTGGTGTGTGTGTCTGTGTGGTGATAGAGTGGTGTGTGTGTGTGTGGTGTGTGTGTGAGAGTGGTGTGTGTGGGAGAGAGTGGTATGGTGTGTGTGTGGGGAGAGAGTGGTGTGTGTGGTGTGTGTGTGGTGTGTGTGGGAGGGAGTGGTGTCTGTGTGTGGGGAGAGAATTGTGTGTGGTGTGTAGGATGGAGTGGTGTGTGTGTGTGGGGAGAGAATTGTGTGTGGTGTGTGGGAGTGAGTGGTGTGTATGGAAGAGAGTGGTGTGTGTGTGGTGTGTGGGGAGGGAATGGTGTGTGTGTGGTGTGTGTGTGTGGTGTGTGTCTGTGTATGTGGTGTGTGTGTGGTGTGTTTGGGAGAGAGTGGTGGTGTGTGTGTGTGGGAGAGAGTGGTGGTGTGTGTGTGTGGGAGAGAGTGGTGTGTGCGTGGGGAGTGGTGTGTGGTGTGCGTGTGGGGAATGGTGTGTGGCGTGTGTGGGGAGTGGTGTGTGTGGCGTGTGTGTGTGTGTGTGGGGAGTGGTTTGTGTGTGTGTGTGGGAGAGAGTGGTGTGTGTGTGGTGTGTGTGGGAGAGAGTGGTGTGTGTGTGTGTGTGTGGGAGAGAGTGGTGTGTGTGTGTGGTGTGTGTGTGTGGGAGAGAGTGGTGTGTGTGTGTGGTGTGTGTGTGTGTGGGGAGTGGTGTGTGTGGTGTGTGTGTGATGTGTGTGTGTGGTGTGTGTGGGGAGTGGTGTGTGTGGTGTGTGTGTGGAGAGAGTGGTGTGTGTGTGGTGTATGTGTGGGGAGAGAGTGGTGTGTGTGTGGAGAGAGTGGTGTGTGTGTGGTGTATGTGTGGGGAGAGAGTGGTGTGTGTGTGGGGAGAGAGTGGTGTATGTGTGGTATGTGTGTGTGTGTGGAGAATGGTGTGTGTGTGGTGTGTGTGTGTGGTGTATGTGTGGGGAGAGAGTGGTGTGTGTGTGGTGTGTGTGTGGTGTGTGTGTGGGGAGAGAGTGGAGTGGTGTGTGTGTGTGTGTGGTGTGTGTGTGGGGAGAGTGGTGTGTGTGTGGTGTGTATGTGTGGTGTGTATGTGTGGTGTATGTGTGTGTGGTGTATGTGTGGGGAGAGAGTGGTGTGTGTGTGGTGTGTGTGTGTGTGGTGTGTGTGTGGGGAGAGAGTGGTGTGTGTGTGGTTTGTGTGTGGGGAGAGAGTGGTGTGTGTGGTGTGTGTGTGGGGAGAGAGTGGTGTGTGTGTCTGGTGTGTGTGTGTGTGGTGTGTGTGTGGGGAGAGAGTGGTGTGTGTGTGGTGTGTGTGTGTGCGGAGAGAGTGGTGTGTGTGGAGAGAGAGAGTGGTGTGTGGGGAGAGTGTGGTGTGTGTGTGTGGTGTGTGTGGGGAGAGAGTGGTGTGTGTGTGTGGTGTGTGTGGGGAGAGAGTGGTGTGTGTGGTGTATGTGTGGGAGAGAGTGGTGTGTGTGTGTGTGGTGTGTGTGTGAGGAGAGAGTGGTGTGTGTGGGGAGAGAGTGGTGTGTGTGGGAGAGAGTGGTGTGTGTGGGGAGATAGTGGTGTGTGTGGTGTATGTGTGTGTGTGGGGAGAGAGTGGTGTGTGTGTGGTGTGTGTGTGGGGAGAGAGTGGTGTGTGTGTCTGTGTGGTGATAGAGTGGTGTGTGTGTGGGGAGAGAGTGGTGTGTGTGTGTGGGGAGAGAGTGGTGTGTGTGGGGAGAGAGTGGTGTGTGTGGGAGAGAGTGGTGTGTGTGGGGAGATAGTGGTGTGTGTGGTGTATGTGTGTGTGTGGGGAGAGAGTGGTGTGTGTGTGGTGTGTGTGTGGGGAGAGAGTGGTGTGTGTGTCTGTGTGGGGATAGAGTGGTGTGTGTGTGTCTGTGTGGGGAGAGAGTGGAGTGGTGTGTGTGTCGTGTGTGGTGTGTGTGTGGTGTGTGTGTGGGGAGAGAGTGGTGTGTGTGTGTGTGTGTGGGGAGAGAGTGGTGTGTGGTGTGTGTGGGGAGAGAGTGGTGTGTGTGTGTGGTGTGTGTGTGAGAGTGGTGTGTGTGGTGTGTGTGGGAGAGAGTGGTATGGTGTGTGTGTGGGGAGAGAGTGGTGTGTGTGGTGTGTGTGTGGTGTGTGTGGGAGGGAGTGGTGTGTGTGTGTGGGGAGAGAATTGTGTGTGGTGTGTGGGAGGGAGTGGTGTGTGTGTGTGGGGAGAGAATTGTGTGTGGTGTGTGGGAGTGAGTGGTGTGTGTGGAAGAGAGTGGTGTGTGTGTGGTGTGTGGGGAGGGAATGGTGTGTGTGTGTGTGTGGGAGAGAGTGGTGTGTGTGGTGTGTGTGTGTGGTGTGTGTGTGGGGAGAGAGTGGTGTGTGTGTGGTGTGTGGGGAGGGAATGGTGTGTGTGTGGTGTGTGTGTGTGGTGTGTGTCTGTGTATGTGGTGTGTGTGTGTGTGGTGTGTTTGGGAGAGAGTGGTGGTGTGTGTGTGTGGGAGAGAGTGGTGTGTGTGTGTGGGGAGTGGTGTGTGCGTGGCGAGTGGTGTGTGGTGTGCGTGTGGGGAATGGTGTGTGTGGCGTGTGTGGGGAGTGGTGTGTGTGGCGTGTGTGTGTGTGTGGGGAGTGGTTTGTGTGTGTGTGTGGGAGAGAGTGGTGTGTGTGTGGTGTGTGTGGGAGAGAGTGGTGTGTGTGTGTGTGTGTGGGAGAGAGTGGTGTGTGTGTGTGGTGTGTGTGTGTGGGAGAGAGTGGTGTGTGTGTGTGGTGTGTGTGTGTGTGGGGAGTGGTGTGTGTGTGGTGTGTGTGTGATGTGTGTGTGTGGTGTGTGTGGGGAGTGGTGTGTGTGGTGTGTGTGTGGAGAGAGTGGTGTGTGTGTGGTGTATGTGTGGGGAGAGAGTGGTGTGTGTGTGGGGAGAGAGTGGTGTATGTGTGGTATGTGTGTGTGTGTGGAGAATGGTGTGTGTGTGGTGTGTGTGTGTGTGGTGTATGTGTGGGGAGAGAGTGGTGTGTGTGTGTGGTGTGTGTGTGGTGTGTGTGTGGGGAGAGAGTGGAGTGGTGTGTGTGGTGTGTGTGTGTGGGGAGAGAGTGGTGTGTGTGTGGTGTATGTGGGTGGGGAGAGAGTGGAGTGGTGTGTGTGGGGTGTGTGTGGAGAGAGTGGTGTGTGTGTGGTGTATGTGTGGGGAGAGAGTGGTGTGTGTGGTGTGTGTGTGGGGAGAGAGTGGTGTATGTGTGGTATGTGTGGAGAATGGTGTGTGTGTGGTGTGTGTGTGTAGTGTATGTGTGGGGAGAGAGTGGTGTGTGTGTGGTGTGTGTGTGTGGTGTATGTGTGTGTGGTGTGTGTGGAGAGAGAGTGGTGTGTGTGTGGTGTGTGTGGGGAGAGAGTGGTGTGTATGTGTGTGTGTGGGAGAGAGTGGTGTGGGGAGAGAGTGGCGTGTGTGGGGTGTGTGTGTGGTGTGTGTGTGTGTGTGGTGTGTGTGGGGAGAGAGTAGTGTGTGTGGGGAGAGAGTGGTGTGTGTGGGGAGAGAGTGGTGTGTGTGGGGAGATAGTGGTGTGTGTGGTGTATGTGTGTGTGTGGGGAGAGAGTGGTGTGTGTGTCTGTGTGGGGAGAGAGTGGTGTGTGTGTGTGGGGAGAGAGTGGTGTGTGTGTCTGTGTGGGGATAGAGTGGTGTGTGTGTGTGTCTGTGTGGGGAGAGAGTGGAGTGGTGTGTGGTGTGTGTGTGGGGAGAGAGTGGTGTGTGTGTGGGGAGAGAGTGGTGTATGTGTGTGGTGTGTGTGTGGGGGGAGAGTGGTGTGTGGTGTGTGTGAGAGAGTGGTGTGTGTGGTGTGTGTGGGAGAGAGTGGTATGGTGTGTGTGTGGGGAGAGAGTGGTGTGTGTGTGTGGTGTGTGTGTGTGTGTGTGGTTTATGTGTGGGGAGAGAGTGGTGTGTGTGTGTGGTGTTTGTGTGTGTGGGGAGAGAGTGGTGTGTGTGTGTGGTGTATGTGTGGTGAGAGAGTGGTGTGTGTGTGTGTGGGGAGAGAGTGGAGTGGTGTGTGTGTGTGTGTGGTGTGTGTGTGGGGAGAGTGGTGTGAGTGGTGAGTGTGTGGTGTGTATGTGTGGTGTGTATGTGTGGTGTATGTGTGTGTGGTGTATGTGTGGGGAGAGAGTGGTGTGTGTGTGTGGTGTGTGTGTGTGTGGTGTGTGTGTGGTGAGAGAGTGGTGTGTGTGTGTGTGGTGTGTGTGTGGTGTGTGTGTGGGGAGAGAGTGGTGTGTGTGGTGTGTGTGTGGGGAGAGA